TTGGGGTCTGAGATCATGGACTTTGAGCTGGATGTGGTAACTGGATCAGATATTGGGATATTGGCTGGTCTCATGGGTAGACTGTGGCAGACATCACTGGATCCTTGATCAACATTCATGCTACTTTCCTTTGGCCTTTTCTTTCTTGCTTACAGAACCCTGATTTTGTTGGGGGTGGGGATCACCTAACTGCAAATCATGAGTCATGAAGAATTTAATCTAATCCAGAGGCCTGCAGGGTGATGTTTTGCTTTTCTGATCAAAAGAGCAGATGCACTGGTGCAGTCCCCCCCTCTTCTTCCTACCTTGCTCCAGACAAGATGCCTAGAGCGGCAATGACTATCTTGTCAGAGCCTCTGCTCTAAGACACACAAATATGGGAGACTCATGAACAATTGTTGCCCAGCATCAGTCTGCCTTCTTAGTTGTAAGTTGACTCTGGCTGGTTTAAGCAGAGGAAGAAACTTTTTAAAATGATGTGATATAGCCACGTTGGAGGACTGGATAATATCTAGTAGACTTGGAAATATTCAGATGGTATGACTCAGCAATTCTACTCCTAGAAATATACCCTCTGGGAACCCTTGCAAACACACAGGAGACAAGTACAAGGCGGTCTGTAGTAGTATTATTTATATTAGCATAAAATTAGAATAACTTAAACATCTGCCCATAGGGGAATGTATAAATTTTGGTACATTCATTCGGTGGAATTCTACAGAGTCACAGCAGTAAAAATGAACAAACTAATAGCCACATATATCATCCTGGAAGAATTCCATAATCGTAACGTTGAGTCAAAAAAAGCCAGTTGCAGAAAGATACATATAGTATGACACCATTTATATGAAGTTAAAGAATATACAAGATGATTATCATCTAGTGCTTAGGGTTTCATACATATGTAGTAAAGTATTAAAGATGCATGAGGATGATAATATCAATTCAGAGCACTGTGGTTGCCTCGCTGGGGAGAAGTGAATGGGGTTTAACTGATTTGCCACAGTTTTACTTTTAAGGTTTATTATCTTTGTACTCTTTATGCCTTATGTTTTGCTCGCTAAATTAAAATTTTATGAGAAGTGGTATTGGCTTGCCCACTGGAATGGTAGAGCCATGCAGGTGTGGGCTCAGAGGCCACTGGGTTGGGACCCACAGATAAAATCCACGTACATCCCGATACAGAGCTGGTCTGGGGAGGACACCACTGCTGTCCCGCTGAGCACTGGGCCATCTGTGGCAGCACCAGGACCACTGGCTCTGGACACAGGCTGCTGCCATGAGCACTGCACCATTCTTACTCTAGCCTCTCAATCTTGTTAAACTTCCAGACAGAATCATCTTTAGCTCTTGCTTCTCTGCTTCTCTTGCTCCTGTTTCAAAGCCTAGGGCGAGTGTGCCTGACTGGCAGAGCCTGGGCTGTGTGGCCACGTTCTAGCTGCAAGGGAGGCTGGGAAGGTGACCAGCTGGCATTTTCAGCCTCTATAGTGGGAGGTGGGCCCTACCTCTCATTAAAATTCATAAAGTCGGGAATTCCTTAAATGTTGGATGGAGGTTCAGATTCTGGGTGATCCCAAAGTGAAAATGCCTATGATAAACCTTCAATACACATAGTCAGGTAAAGTTAGTAAAGAAAGCATCCTGGGTAGAGGAAACAGAAGAAATAAAAACATTGAAGTGATGTTTTTCTGGAATGTAGAAAAAAGAATAGTAGGTGGCAAAACTTAATAGGCTAACCTTCACCTGGTTATAAGGAGTACTGAAATCTCAATCTCTCAGTCTGTGTTTATTTTCTAATTAGTCATTATTTTTTTTATTTAGCCAAAATGATCTCTCCTATTAGACCATAAGCTCATCAAAGTTAAGCACCATTCCTTACCTGGGAGAGATGCCATGTTTGCTATGGAAAGCCCAGGGCATTCAGGTCAGACCGAACCGATCTTGAATCCTGGGTCTACTACCGATTAGCTAAGTGATAGTGGCTATGTTGGGCAGCCTCTCTGAGATGGTATCTTCGTGAGTAAAATAGAGATTACACCCACTTTTCTGTGTAGTAAATATTATATCCAAGATAAATAAGGTTAGAGAGTAGACGAATGGTAAATATTTCCTTCCCTTTCCCTTTAGGCCCTTTCTGTTCCTCCTCAGGTCCTGCACTGAACTTAGAAAGCACTTAGCTGGTGTTTGCTGAATGAATGAATTTGGCCTCATCACATCTGAGGATGTACGTCTGCCCTTCCTGCTTGCAGCTGCCATATTTGAGCTTACTCTGTGGTAGCCTGGTGTAATTCCTTTTTTCACGAATAGCCCCTAGGAAATTTTTACAAGCCAACAGAACTTTACTGGTGCTACTTTTCTTCGTTCGCTGAACAGTTCATTTGACAAATGGAACACCAGATATGTGCCAAGCTCCAGGAACATACGACATGGACCTCACCATCATGGAACGTGCAGTCGCAACAGGAGGGCTCGTGTGAATAGCTGTCACAATGGTGAGTGCTGCAGTAGAGGGGAGCACAAAGAGCAGCTCTCATGGCCCTCTCTCCCCCCAGTGCAGCATGTGCATTTTATTCCGCTGTTATGCCATGTAATTCCCAGGGTTTTCCCCAAACATGAGTGTTCAGATAATGATCATTTAGTTTAATTATTTTATCAGAATATTTTTAGAAAATGATGTCCCTATACACGCTTTTCCAACATGCCCAAACCCAACTTTTACTTTACTTTTATTTGCCAAGTCTCAGTGGCCTCCTTGAGCAGGAATTGGTCAGGTCCCATTTCAAATTTCCTGCTTCACATGGTTTCTAAAAGCTCTATTCTCAGAGTTTTATCTTGACTTCTTCCTACTGAGAATGATCACGACTAAAACAATTTCCACTGAGAACTAATTATGAAGATGGCAGCGAAATTACTATATCAACAGTCTCATTAATCCAACCACTCCTGATAAACCCCAATGGAAATTAGTAAAGGCTGTAACATAGCAGGGGACGGGCCCACCAGAAGCACAGGCAGGATGGCTAAGCCCATCTGGCCCCAAATTCTGATGCTCAATCCAGAGGAGGAAGGGTGGAAAGAAGGGAAATATTGGACTTTCAGTGAGTCTTCTGGCTGTTAAAAGGAGGTGAGGCCATGGGGTACTAATAAGAAACTACCGATAGTTTAAATAAATAAATTAGAGCTAAGTATGGATAAAGCTCAAAACCATTGTGGAAAGAAAACATCAAGTTGCAGAATAATATAAAAGATTTTGAAACTTGCAAAACAATGCTTTATATATTTATGTGTATGTAACCAAGTAACAAAACCATCAATATACACAGAAGTGAAAAATTCTGAGTTTAGGAACGTGGTTATCTCTGGGGAGGGGGGAAGGATGATGAGATCGAGGTAGGGACTCAAGAGTTGTAAACCTTTAATTAAAAACAACATAGATCTGAAGCAAAAGGAGGGAGAACGTGTGAGGATGGAAGCCCTGCCATCCCGTGGATACAGCCAAGGTGACAGGGTAGGAAGCGAACGGAAATGGATGGAGAAACCTAAATCCGAGTCTTGTTGCTGCTGTGGCTGGGTGGTGAGACCTCGGATGGGTTTCTTCAATAAGTTTCTTCTGGGCTTCTTTTTGCAGAATGGAGGAAATCATATCTGACTCTACCCTCCTTAAAGTATTTCTGTGAAAATCATTTACTCAATGTATACGAATACATTATAAGGACCGCTGTGTGTTCTCCAAATGAAGGATTATTGCAATCAGTCAGAGCTTTAGCGTATGTATGGTTAAGTCAGGAAAAGATTGAGCTTAACAACAAGCCTACAGCAAGGGACCTCTGTATTTACCAGCAATACAGAGCTTGGATATAGAAAATAAAACGTTTCAAAAAACATGGGGAAATGCCTGACAAACATTGAGGAAAAGTATCCCTAAATCTTTGCCCATGTTCCACATTCCCACTCAAACGCTCCCTTTAGCGCTGTCGCATCTCCATTCCTGATAGTGTTCACTGGAAATTTCCAGAGGGTGCTGTGTACCGGCTCACTAGGTACAAAGGGAAAAGGGTGGGTGGGAAAGAACATCTGACATTATCTTGAAGTGGGGGGTCTGATGTTACCTGTAGTTAATTAACTGCCCTTCTTTGAGGGCATAAATGCTCGTGCAAGATTCACTGGGATGCATGAGCCCAAGGGCTCTCTATCCAGGCTTTTCCACTGGGGATAGCTTACTGGGGACACGGGGCGGATGAAGTCATACCCTGAGGACTTTCACCTGCAGTCTTCACTTAAAAGGTGGTGCCTTCAGTGACATACTTGTCAGCAAGGGTCTTGACTAATTGTTTTGGGTTATTTTAAGACAAAGACTAAGGATTTCTGCCAGTGGTTGCTTTGCCTATTGGTTTTTGTGTATTTTTTGCATGTCTGTCTCTATTTGCTGTCTCTGGCTGACTCTTACTGTGTCTGTTTGTTTCTCTCCAAGTCTTATCTGTCATTTATTCTCCCCTTATTTGTCCTCCAAGCCCTAGCCCTAGCCCTAACCCTTAGATGTCTGCTCTCATTTCTCTGTCTCTTTTTCTGGTGTTTGTGGCTCTTTTTCCCTTTCTCTCCTTATTTTGTGTTTCTTTGAATGTTATCTGATGCCTGCTGGTTGGGGACCCCAAACTACTCTTTAGATTCAACAGCTTGGAAATCTCTTTGTTGAAATGGTTACTCATACTCAATTAATGATTACTTCTTCCCTATTGTTCTGAAGGAATGAATTTTGTCTTGAGTAGAGTGTGCCAGGAGAAAGCAAATGAGAGTCACTGTTCGCTTTGTTCTGAGTGCAACGTGGTTCTTCCAACTCCTAGAAGGCCCCTCGAGTGAGAGAGGGCCGCAAGTTGCTGTGCTCGGTATCTTTGCCCTTGAGATTATGCTGGGCCACGGTTGAGAGAGTTACTTTCAGGGAAGCAGATCCCAGAAAGGAGTCACTGAGTGAGTAATATGACCTTGCTGTAGAGATATGATTATATTTTGGGAATTCAGAGAGCAGTTCAGTAGAGAGAAGAATCCTCATTTTGGGCAGTCATAACTTTTCACTGCAGCGTGTCCCTGCAGATAGCATCAGAAAGAAAAAGAAGCAACAACAGAAAAAAGTGGTTTAATTTTTCCTAAGGTCTGTGTAATCACTTGTCCTGCCCATGCTTGCTACATTGGGGTTGTGAAATAAGGATTGAACAGACTTGAGCTCGTGGAGGCACTGAAGAGTGATATAGAGGTGTCTTAAGGCAGCTTCCAGTGGGCACAGCGTGGAATTCAAGGTAACAAGGAAGAGCTCCTGCCTCTCATGTAAGTTTCAAGTTCTTTTTGTCAGTGATACCAGACTGTTGGCTTGAGGCTCAGAAGCTTTAGCTGCCAATTTACCACTAGAGGTTCTCTAGTTAGGTTTTAACATTAAAATTGTGTGTACGCAGCTCTAACCTTTATTCTGATCAGATTGTGTAAGAATTCACACATGCATGCACACGCACACACACACACAGTATGCATCACGTAGACATAAGCATAGATGCAGCCTTACACACATACCCTGTCCAGAGCATAGACAGATTTCCCCTCCTTTCGAAATGGACTTGCCCTCACACCATGTCCTACAACTTCCATTTGGTGCTTGCTGCTTCTTGCCAACAAGCCAAGTGCTGCCATTGTCTAGCCCTCACCTGTTTTGGGACGGCTTGTCCTAGCATTCTGCTGAGGTGTGGTAGAGTCTTGATGTCCCTCATTCCGGCAATAGGTCAGCTTGTAGGCTGTATAGTACTTGCTCTGTCCATCAGTGTGCAAAGGGAGGCCACATGGCATGGGGGTCAGAGTACAGATGTCAACGGTCAAATGTTGGCTCTGACTTTCTGGCTGTAGAGCCTTGGGCAAGTCCCTTCAAAAGGTACAATACAACCTACCTCACAGGCAGGAGTAACTCATAGTAAGGATTAAATATGGGCACTTAGAACAGGACCTGGAAACTCAAAGAATTACACCTGTCAAAGAACCAGGTTGGCTCAACCCTTACCCTTTCCTCCTTTATTTACCTTCTCTCCTTTGGTCTCAGGAATCTGACAGAACCAGACCTGGAGCTTCAGTATGGGGCAGAAAGTGAGGTCAAGGCGGAGAGGTCTATGGAGAGTTCCTCAGCTCTCTAGGGGGAAGGCCCACTTCCCTTTCCTCTCCAGATGTCTGCTTGCATCCCCAGGTCTAGTGTTTCTCATTCTTAGCCCCGTTGGCCCTTGAGCACCATCTACATGCTAGCAACGGGATTTACAGTGACATGCCAAGTTCCATTTTAGATCTGAATGAAGGATCCAAAGACGTTCATCTTTCGTTCGATGGCCTCAGGGAGAAGAATTTGGAGATAGGGTGCCGGGCTTTACCAATCAGAAGGAAAATTTTCCAGCAGAGCTATCTAAAGACAGAATGGCTACCCCTGGGAGAGGCTGGCGTCCTCAAGGGCTGAAGTTTATTGGGGATGCTTTTGGAAGGACTCTGGATTAGGTGAACAATAGGACAAGGAGTCTTTAAGATTGTATCTTATGCTAAAGCTCTGTGATTCTGTGAAAAGCCACTTGGCCTACTGGCTTTTCATTTTGTTTTATACCTTTAAATACATCACAGTTCTCTTTCCCCATCTTACAGCGGGTTTGAGTTCCATGGCAGCAAAGCCTAGTGAAGACACTGACCAAGTTCCCTTTATTGTTTCAACTTTATTGTTTCGAACATAAAGATATGAATAAAGAATAACATAATGAAAACCCCACATACTCATTATCCATCTTTATCAAATCTTAATTTTAAGCCATATTTACTGGAGAATTCTTTAAAACAAATTACACATTACAGATACAATGGAGACCCTTCTCGGATCTTTTCCTCCCCCTCATTTCTCCCAGAGGGGATCATACTCATGAATTTTCATTTCCATCCACATTTTTATATTTTTGCCACATATGCTATGTATCCATAAAAATTATAAAGCATTGTTTTGCCTGTTTAAAAAATTTAGATAAATGATATCTTGCTGTAAATGTCCCACTGCATCTTGGTTCTTTTGCTCAAAATTGTTTCTGGGATTTATTGAGAGTTGATAGTTGTAGCTGTAGTGCTTTCATTTTTAAACGCCATGTGGCGTTGCAATGTCTGAATATAACACAATTTTACTCGTCCATTCTCCAGTGAAAGGACATTAGACTGTTTCCATTTTTTGGACTTGTTTTGTTTCTATTACATACAATCAACATTCTCATACATGTCCTTTTGTGCACACACGTAAGAGAGTTTCTTTAGGGTATTTATAGCTTTTAAACTGGCAGATCAAAGACTATGCACATTTCAGCTGTCCCTGATGTTGCCGAATAGCTCTCTGAAGTCACAGCAATATATCCTCCTCTGTGCAGATATGGAGTTTCCTGTCTCTCTTCATCTTTGCCAACCTTTTCATCATCAGATTTTACATGTTTTGCTCATATGATGGGTGTGAATGCATCTCCTTGTTGTTTTATTTTGTATTTTCCTCGTTGCTAGAGATGTGTGTCTTTTCATGTGTCTGTTGGCTACTCAGGTCTTTTCTACTGGGATCTGCCCTTCATATCTCTGCCCATTTTTCCTGTTGGGCATCGTTATCATCTTCCCTTTGACAGAGAGAAAAGCAGCGCCTGAAATCCAGGAGCTGGTCTGGTGCTGTTGGTGAGGTCTCGATATTCTCCTGTTGAACACACTAATTTCATACACTCAGCTTCAGACAAGGCCACTCTGGGACCACAAGAGATCAAGGCAAAAACAACAGCACTCCGTAATCATGCCTGAACCCAGACAATACAAGGACATTGTCCAAGGCACAAAGTGTGAAACACCCCGCTGTGGTGGGCAGAATTCTGAGCTGTCCCTCCTCCCCCCGGTGTACACACACCTTTCCCAGTTATTCAACCAACACTAATCTAGGGACCGTTGTGAAGGGATTTTACAGATGTGATTAAAATCCTAATTCAGTTGACCTTATGATCAGGAGATTATCCAGTAGTCCTGACCTAATCACATGAGCCTTTTAAAATCAGAGTTTTCTCTGGCTGGTTGTAGAAGAGGAGGTCAGAGGTCACGCTCTGGCTGGCCTGGAAGAAAGCAAGCGTCCGTGTTGGGAGCTGCCTATGAGAAGTGCACGTGGCAGCAACTGCAGGGGGTCTCTTGGAGCGGAGAGTCATCCCCGGCCAATGGCTAGAAGGAAAATGGGGACCTCAGTCCTACAGCTGCAAGGAAATGAATTCCAACAGCCAGTGAGCTTGGAGCAGGGTGTCGAGCCCTATAAGATAACTGCAGCCCTCACCTAGTGAGACCTTGAGCCTGTCACACCTGGGTTCTGACCTACAGAAATGGTGTGATGAAAAGTTTGTGTTGTTTTACACCACCAGGTTTGGGTGATTTGGTACAAAGCCATAGAATTCTAACACCTCCATCTCCCAGCTACTATGAGCGCCAGCTGCTTCCTTACCACTTACAGCTTTAGCTTCAGTCTAGTCTTCCCCTTGCCTAGAAAAGATTAAGATACCCAGTCAGAGAATTACCCCCGCTTCCTGACAGCATTCAGTCCTTGCTTACTTAAACCTTCCCCAAAATCACCTAGCAAAACCCCAAATCCTATAATTAGCCCTTTCTTACACTCTGCTAGTGGGATGCCCCATGGTTCCCTGTGGTGTGCATTCCCTCTTGCTGCAAGGCATGATAGATCCAATTTGTTCATCTGCAGGTGAGTTCCGGTGTCTCCAGCTGGAGGACACTGACGCCCTAAATAGGATGGGCACCTGCAGTTAGAACTAGCTTGGGCACTCATTGGCCATGTTATATGACAAGTCTTACGTGCTTTTTAGGATCTAAGTCCTTCCGTAGAATGAGAAGGTGGGGCTAGATGATCTTGAGGGAAGCTGCATGGCGGAGTGGAAAGAGCTTTGGAGTTAGACAGTCTTGAGTTCCGTCTCCATTCTGCCCTTCCTAGCTATGTGACTTTGGCTATGTATTCATCTTCCTGAGCCTCAGTTTCATCATCTCCAGATTGGGACCCACAAACCAAAACAGGTTTGATGTAAGGATTAAATTAAATGAAAATTTCTTGGGTTACACAGATGTCTCAATAATATCTATACACAATTTTAAATGCACACAAAATTTATAGCATTGAAAAATATTTTGAGGGGGCTGGCCCTGTGGCCAAGTGGTCAAGTTCACATACTCCACTTTGGTGGCCTGGGGTTCTCCAGCTTGGATCCTAGGCGTGGGCCTACACACTGCTCATGAGGCCTTGCTGTGGCAGCGTCCCACATAGAAGAACTAGAATGACTTATAACTAGGATATACAACTATGTACTGGGGCTTTGGGGAGGAAAAAAAAAAGAGAAAGATTGGCAACAGATGTTACCTCAGGGCCAATCTTCCTCACCAAAAAAAAAGGCATTAAAAAAAACCTCACTAGGAGTAGATTAGAGTACCAAGCTCTTTAAAAAAAAAATATTTTGACAACAGAATGTGCTGGTGTTAACCAATGCTTGTCCTGATTACCTTAAGTTCTCAAACTGTTCAAAATGCCCACTGCCCGCATGATGTTAACAAGGATGTGATACAGGGAGTTGATATATGTGTTTATTACCACCTAAAACATGGATCCAAAATTTTCCATCAGGACACTCTGTAGAAGATTTCCAGCAAGTGTTTCCTCTCCTCTTCTTTTTTTCTAAAATATTCCAGCTCTTATTGATACCTGCTCAGCACAAGGTTGACGTAAGGGAAGCCATATTGTAGGAAAGGAACCATATTGTAACTGAATGACCTCTGATTAACTAACCCAGCTAGATAAGCACCGTCCAGGAGATATACATGCTCTGTAGATTTTATGGCGCTCCCAGTTGCTATAAGTTGATAACTTTGTTCTTTTGAGTTCCTTAGGAATGTGATGACCCCTGGGCAGAGAGTCTATGCTGATGACCATTATCAATGACAATTGAAAGATTGTAGAGGGCATTGCTCCAGTTTCTGATGCATATCCAGGAAAGCAAAAGATTATCAGGAACTAAGACCAGATGTCTGCCCCACCTGGAGACCAGATGCCTCCCCCATGGGGAGACCAGCCCCCTGTACAACTGGCCTATAGTCCTTGTTCTGTAAGATGGTTCTTTTGGATGTTAGTCAGCCATCTTTCCCCTTGCTAGCAAGCTGTAATAAAACTCTTTCTCTCCTACCACCTTGCCTCTTGACTATTGGCATGTCTTGCAGCGGGCAGATGATCCCCCTTGGATGGTAACATTATGTTCTATGAT